ATCAATAAGTTCAGGAATTTTCTGCCATCAAAACTTTTGATATATGTGAGATTTACCCACTTTACAAAAATGTGGGAAAATCTACTGGAAGAAAATACTGACAGTTGATGTAGAAAAATTGCACATGAAATGAAGAATAAGCCTCATCTACCCATGTCTACTCTACTGAAAGGCTACATCTCTTGTCCCTTTTCCCCCTAAGGTTCCTAAATAAGCAGCAAACATTTATTTAAATAGCTGACCCTATCTGGTGTGGAGAATGCTATGCACAACACTGGAATGTTTTAATTTATTGCTCCAGGTGGGCTTTTAGCTTGGGATAGTTTTGTTAGGTTTAGTGTCCCTTTATAAATGTATAAGGTGTTAATTCCACTTGGTTCAACCCTTACCTGTTTATTTGAGTGGCATCTCCTTTTTTTTCCACTCTTCCTAGTAGCCAGCAATCCTTCTGTCAAGCTAGCCCCATTTTCAGTGTCAGGCATTTAGTAGAATGATTAATTAAAGTCTTTTTCTGGAGAAGGACACTGTAGAATTTTGTTCTGCAGTTGGCTAGGAGATAACATTGACTAGGATGGGTAAAGAGGAAGGTCTTACACTTGGCAATGCAGCAGCTGGCGTTTTCCGCTTTGGAAACAGAGCATGTCACTGCCTTGATCTGGCTTTTAATTCCCTGGGAATTTCTCTTTCAACTTTATGGGAGGCTAAAGTTCCTCCAAAGGTCTCTGACTTTCTTTCACTGTGGCTATTAAGTGTGGAATAATTGGCAGGGGATATTTTTTTCCGATGACTGGCTTGCTTTTCTTTCATGTCTGATAAACACTCATTGCTGCTCATTTCTCTCAGCTGTTAGAGGTGGTTAGATACCTGTTCTTAGGAACCTGAGTCATTTTGACACAGGCTATAAATATGAACTCTTCATTGATATAATGCAGGTAGTGACTGTATTCATCACCTAACGTTTGACAGCACAAAAGCCATTAAGAAATGATACTTTAGGAAGCTCTAACTTCAACCAACAGCTCCAGAGTCACTTACGATACTTAAGGTGATTTCTCAGCAATTTCTCTCTGCAGCTGCTTGTGAATGATCTTACTTTCTTTAAAGTCCTTTTTTAGAGGGTATTTCTGCTACTTCTCAATGCATAGAATTGAAAATGTGTTCTAACCTCATGTTGCTCCACTGCCCCCCTATCACAGACTCTTGGTACTGAATTGTACCATGCTTAATTTCATAATGAAAAATATCACTCTTCTGAAGTGCTTTAAAATCCATGCAAAACAGAACATGCAAGAGTTCATGTGACCCTGTTGTATTGTATAGCTGCAAAAAGTGGACAAATTTGTTTTAAACTGAGAACAAATTTAAAACCAAGCAGCCAGCTGGAAGGAATTTCTGGGAGAATGGATTTGATTTAACACAATGCCTGTGAGCCCAGTGCATGGATTGGGATCTCATTGTGCTAAATATGTTGGAAGAAAAGATGGTATCTACCCTTTGTATGTTAGTGAGAGGTTTCAAATTAGTAGTACAGGGTGGAATACATAAAAGCAGTGGTAGGAGATTGGTGCAGTCAAGTTCCAGTTGCCATTTGTTCCTTCAGGTAGGAGTAGTGCCACTGGAGGAAACAGAAAATGCTTCTTAATCTGATCTGCTGAAGGGTTTCTGTGCCTAAAGCCTTTCTTTCCAACACTGTCACTTAGACTAATAAAAAATATTGCTTCTCTTTTAGACCATGTATGCAGTCTTGACTATGACAGTATTGCTTCCACAACATGTGCTTGATCAGAATAGCAAGCAGCAGGAAACTCCAATTAATCCATTTTAATTTTCATTTGCTAATGGAACATACTCTTTTCCCCATGAAAACACAGACCATAATACATGGTCTAATATACATATCTAATACAAACCTAATTACATTAGGCTGTTTTTCTTTATGCTGCCAATTTTTTTGCTTTATGTAACAAAATGTGGCTCTCCAGTGACAAAACTGTCATGGAGACTTTGAGCTTTTACAACTATTAGAATATATAAGACTAGGGTAAACTAAAGTCTTTTGGGAGTGGTTGACCTTTCTACATCAGCTTTTGTACAATTTAAACCTGAACCACCTCTCTTTTTCCTATTCTTGTACCTCCTTTTTTATTGCCTCCTGGGCCCTTGACCTACCATTTTTCCCACATGGAACTGAGGGATGTTACAGCCTTGTAAAATATTTCTCTTCACACACACACACACACACACACACACCCACCCCCACCCATTCTGGAGCAATTTGTACTCTGTTAAGAAAGCAGGCAGGAAAGATGAACAAATTTGCCCTGTACTGTGCAAGTCTGAAAAAGACAATAAATCTTTGGGTCAGGCAATGGGGTAAATTTAAGAAAATTGAGGCATTAACTAGGTTGATGTAGTTACCTTGGATAAATAAAGGGTGTAACTGCCCTCTTGAAGAAAGGAGAATTGTATTGAGCCTCAGGCTTCTGAAACAGGACTTAGAGGCATTTTTTGCTGCAGTTCTGTTCATTTTAATCAGTTTGTGATAAGTTAGTTGCTTAGAAATTCTTTTTTTCTGTTAGTTTGTGCTTATAAAAAACTAAGTGCTATTGCAACATTCTATGTATTTGTGTGCACACATACATATACATACATATACATAAATGAGGAAGGGATTCTCTCGTGCCTACGTGTAACTTAAAATAGAAGCCCAAAATAAAAAAGGATATGCAGTCATTGCTATTGTATTGCTATTTTTAGTTATTAACAGTGTCTCAGAGAGTTTTCTATTTGAATGAAACATGGGGAATTGTTTTTTTCTGAAAGTTTCAGCACATGTAGATTTTTGTGGTGGGAAAAATAGCAGGAAGAGCAGAGGATTCTGCCTTCATTCCTGGCTTCCCCTAACTCCCACCCCAAGTGGGCATTTCTCTCTAATGTGTGTGAACTTGTGTGCTTTGATCTGTGGAAGTGTGCAAGGAGGGTGAGATGGGTGTGACTGCACTGCACATCTGTTCCAAATGTTCAGTTCAGCAAGTAGGAGACCTACCAAGATTGTTGCTTTCTTTTCTTTCTTCATCTTGCAACCTATGTCACTGCATTTACCATTTAGGCTGTGAGAATATGAAGAGGATGAAATGTGCTACTCATTGGGTAACAGAAATCAGGGCTGCCTATATAACCTTGGGTGTTCTTGTTAAATGTGTGCCTTGCGTGGACAAATTCCTGTCTCAGTTACATGGATGGTCAATGTGAACACCTGTGTAATTGAAAGCCAAACTGTCCACAGTATTTAGTTACATGACATTTTTTCCTCCCCAGGGGTCCCTGATAGATCAGTGTGCATGACAGAGAGCATTCAGTAAATGAGGCAGCTGCTTAATTTTTGTCATTGTTGTCCACTGCACAGTCCCTGTGAAACTCTGCACGTTGCAAATTCTTCCATTAATAAAATCTGCATTCTTTTCCTGTGTGCTCTGGTGGCATACTTGAAAGTCTCACGAATCTGCATTAACATACTAGGAACTATTGTTTTTATTTACTGTATGAGAAATTGGAACTCAGCAACTTTTCCAAATCAAGAGAGAAATCTTCATCAGAACCAGCCTTCATCAATTCCAGTTAGAATTTAAAAGCATTTTAGACCAGTTTATTTACTTCAAATCTGGCTTTTTTTATCTTTGATTATGGTTCAGCCAGGTCATCTCCCACCACTCAGGTTCTGTACATGAACTAATTTCACATGCTTTGTAGACTGAAAAGATTAAGGCAAGAATTCTGAAGAAGCAAATTGCATCCCATCATGTAATCTCACTGTGTTAATCCTGTACATCATTTAGATTGAATTATAAATTACTCCTAACACTTCCCTTTTTCATTTTTCTTTTATTTTTTTTCTTTTGGTGTAGCTTGACATAAAGGACTTCTATGGGTGCACAACTACAACGAACAACATATGTATGATATAACAAGTTCATTAGTTTCTTTTATTTTTTCCAAATAAGATTATAATAGTCTTTATTTCTAAAATTCCATGTTGGCCTAGAAAAAAATTCCAAAATTCCTTTTATGTTGGCCAAGAAAACAGTTTTGAAAAATGAAGGGGATACAGCACATATGTTGTTAATGGTTAATGTTCTTGTTAAGAAATCTGTTTCTATAGTAACTGCTGCAGATTGTCACTTCCTCCAGCATTTGGAATAGTACCAAAGTGGATTTAACACTGATGCTGTGAAGGACAAATCCTATGAGAGCTGCAACAGATCACTGTGAGCAGTATGCTTTATTTGGTATGGAGATGTATGAACACACAGTTCAGTAACCATAGAGGGTGTCTAAGAACTATTTTTTCCTACCCTTTATTCTAATGCTCTGTGTGCATTTACTTTTTTCCTTCTACACAAAGACTAGTCCTCATTTGACTCTTATAACGAGGGCACATAAAATACATAGGTATGCTTAAGATTTTAAGTTTAAATATTGTGCATGTATATGCTACTATGTCTGTGAAGAGATTCACCAGGTGATTTTCACTAATAAGGAGAGAGTCAGCATGGGGCAAATGTGTATGGCTCAAGCTCTGAAGCAAAGCCCAGGTGAGTTTTAAACAGTGTCTTTGTCTTATCTGGTACTAGCCCTGTTCTCTGAAACGTAAACAGTGACAGGGAGGTTTTTATTCTGTTTACAGAAGTGTGTATCCTCAGATGAAGAGGATGTTTTCAGTGACTGTGTATTCCGTTTCAGTGCACGTTTGTGTCTGGTTTTGCTTGTCCCATAAGTTGAGACTGTACCAAGCAAACTCATGATCAAGTGAAGGCTGAGATTGTATTAAGGAGAGGGGAAAAAGCTTCAGAGGAAGTATATTTTGGTTTTGGCAACCACAGTTTGGTTGCAGGTATAATTCTCACAGAACCAGAATTTTGGTTTTGCAAGTTTGTAGGTGTGCATGCAGTGAGCACTTGGGGATGTTACAGGAACTTACTGCTTGCATTATTTCTTTCCAGATGGATGAGATAAAAGGCAAAGACAGGGTGATTCTGGCTCTGGAGAAAGACCTTGGTGTCCAGGCAGGCCACACACAGAAACTGCTCCTTCAAAAAGAAGCTTTGGATGAACAGCTTGTCCAAGTGAAGGAGGCAGAGCGATACCACAGTAGTCCCAAGAGAGAGCTTCCCGCGGGAGTAGGGGATATCTCCGAACTCATGGGAAGTCCGGTAAGAAAACTGTGTTCTCTTCAAGTGTTCAGCATGGGATAATTGCTGCCTGGGTGTCCACATTGGGTTTGCAGTTACTTTTAAAATACAACAAAGGACCAGTTAATGGTAAATGACCCTGCACTGCACTGTGCTGTTTCACTGATGATTTACAAACTCCATGGACCTCTTAAATTGCAAAGAATGTTGAAAAATATGTGGATATCGAACTTCTAGAATTTACATTGTGACCTTCAGCTGTGAACCCCAGTACTTTCTTGCTATTTCATTACTTTAGGAATATTTTAACCATTGGCAATTAGGTACTATACTTCTCAAAAACTGAGCCATGTGATTTAATCTGTGTCCTGTGCACTAGAATTATTTTAGCTGAGAGTAAGAAATCTGGTGAGAAGTAAACCATAATGTGTACAATATTATTTATCTAGCTCATTTTTTTAATTGTTAAACTTCTCCATATATTTCACAAGTAGACAGTGTTCTTGTAGCAGTTCCACAGGATGTTATTGTTTAGTGTTTCAGTTAACCAAAGTAAGTTTTTCAGACATTGATGTAAGAGTCTGTTTTAAGTTTACACAATCCACTTGCTAAACCATGATATAAAACTATGGAGAGCAAAATATTTTCCATAAGGTAATTTTCTATATCTATATGCTTTTGATGTAAAGGAGCAGCATTTGGATGAACGAGATGTGCGGAGATTTCAGTTAAAAATCGCTGAACTGAATGCTGTAATAAGGAAGCTGGAAGACAGAAATACTCTCTTAGCAGATGAAAGAAATGAACTGGTAAATTAATTAGTAATAACACAGATGGTGACTGGGAGGGCATCTTGATGGCAAAAGATTTAATGTGGAAAGTGAGTGTTATAAATAATTTAGAAATTAGTCCTGGTTGGCCTCAATCAATTATATCTAAATATAACAGATTTCTATAGAAATTCATCTTGTGACCACAGAAGACATGGATAGACTCTTTCTGGTTTTACAGAAATAAAAATTTACAGATTTATATTGGGGTCATTGTTATCAAATTGACTGGTGTTTTGCATGTGGCACTGTACAATGATGCTGTGTAAATCCTGCATAATTTATGCACTTAAATTACTGTATTAATCCTTTGGAAATGTGACATTGGTTTTGTGACGTTGCTTATGCTAGCTAGGAGTTAAAAAAACTTTCTTCTGCTAGTGATGAAAAATCTGCCGTTTCTCAAGGGAAATCTCTGAAGTAGGTGAAATTATCCTAGGAGAGTCGTAGTAGCTTACAAA